AGAATAACAGAGTTGGAAGGGACCTTGGAGGTCTTCTAGTCCAACCCCCCTGCTCAAGCACGAGACCCTATCCCATTTCAGACAAAAGGCTGCCCAGTCTCTTCGTAAAAACCTCCAGTGATGAAGCACCCACAACTTCTGGAGGCAAGGAGTTCCACCGTTGATTCTTCTCACTCTTGCCTTCCAGGGGAGAAAGAGAGATCCTCCCAATCTAATCCCTGGCCTTGAGATGTCTCGCTCAAAGACGGTCTGACCCGAATCCCAGGGTTGGCCAGGATAGCGCTGTCCTTCCAAAAGACTACTTGATACGGCAAGCTCTAGTGAAATATAAAAACCTGCACAACCTTTGAACTGACCTGCCTGGGTGTTTCCATTGACAGTTCACAAACGGGGGAAGGCGTTTATGTGTTCCACTTTGCATTAATTGCCTTTTAAATACACGGGGGGGGGGGCTGTGCTAATGAAGCGCTGGCATCCAGCATAGAGACAGAGGTCAAAGGAGAGCTTCCCCATGGAAAGGCTTCTGCCCCCTTTTGTAGTCATGCAATGCCACCGAACAGGGGGGGGGCTCCCCTCCAGGTAGGCCAGGCTGAGCTGGCGCTTTCTGGGTGAGCCGGAATTATAGTTCTGCACCACTTGCAAAGCCAACAGCTGGCTGAGAATTCAAAAACAGCTGCAAAGGCACCAGGTTCAAGGGGTGCTGGGGGGGGGCAGTTTCTAGGTCAATGAAAAACTCCTAAACTCGCATTTCGGAACTACCAGGCGGTCCCTGACTTACAATCAGACCTGGGAGCAGGATTTCCATTGCTAAGTGAGTTGCGTCCAATTTTACGACCTTCAGGGGCGCGGTTCTTAAGCGAATCACGGCAGTCGTTAAGCGAATCGTGTGATCGTTAAGTGAAACCGGCTTTCCTCGCCGGTTTCATCTGTGGGAAGCCAGCCAGCCCGGTTGCAAACGGCCATCCCACCGGTGACTTTGGGAGGGTGCGACCGTTTGTAAACATAGGCCAGTTACCAAGCAACCCCAATTTTGATCACACGGCTATGGGGAACGCTGCGACGGTTGTAACGGCGAGGACCGGTCGCAAGTCATGTTTTCCGGTGTCGCCGTAACTTCAAACGGTCGTTAAAGAAATGGTCGTAAGTTGAGGACTGCCTGTATCCATGTTGGTGGTCTCCATCTAGTCCAATCTGGTGTTTTTCATGGGAAAACTAAATTTAACCTTTCAACCCTGGAGGACCAGACTTTACACCAGGAGTAGGCAACCTTGGCTCTTTTATGACTCGTGGACTCAGCATTCCTGAGCCAGCCAGTCATAAAAGAGACAAGGTTGCCTACCCCTGGTTTACACTGTCTGAACCTAATAGGGGTTTGTAAACTACAGTGCCCCCCCTTAGCATGCTATAAGAACCCTGAACATTTTGCTTACTTAGTAAATGTTGTTTTCTCCAATAAACACCTGGAAGATTGCTGCTGAAAACAGGATACTGGGGGTAGGATCTATTGGACAATCCTGGGTGATCTGCCCCGAATTG